CGGAGCAGAGCACCACCGCCGCGCCATTGAAACCCTACCGCACCACCCCGACCTCCTAGCCGCCACCTGAGATCACCACCGCAACCCTCTCGCCCGCCCACACCTCCTAGTGCCCTCGCCCGAGCTCCTGCGCCCTTGGAACATCGGCAACAGCGACCACCCGAACGCCACCGCCGCCTCGAGCTCACCGCCGACCATCTCCGACCACCCCCATCGATGACACGACCACCGTTGGACTCGCCGCCGCCCGCTTCATCTCCCTGGCCACCCCACTGACGCCGAAGATCACCGGTGCGCCGCCACCATCGTCGCCCGACGCGCTCGCCGTCGACCACCACCGCGGTGAGCCCTCTCTCCCTCCTCGTCCGTTCGATCTAGATTATACGGCCTAGATTAGATCCACGAATAGATAGGTTTTATTTTGGTTTAGATCGGTTTTAGTTTTCGATTTTAGTTCGGTTTAGATCGAACCGGTTCGTTGGTTTTCTATTATTAAACACGCATGCACGTTTCTGTTAAGTCTCGGCCTAGCGTAGTATAACTACAGATCGCCCATCTCTTAGCCCAGTAGCAATAGGCCACGTTGCCTTTTATTTTTTCGTTTCTGTTTTTTTTACAGAAAAGTCTCAATCTTAGATATTCTGTATCTTTTATTTTATAGATCCAAATTGAGTGATTCTTTTTGCATTACGTCACAAATTTGTTGAAGTTTCTGTTTGTGTCTTTAGTTATCAAGTTTGAGTAGTTTAAATTTTGAGTTTGATGAAATTTGTTCAAATCAGTAATTTGGCCGTATCTTGAGTTTTATAAAATATTTTTGATTGATTCTTTTTTTCTACTATTTTGTTATTGTTTTGTATATCCAGAGTCATATAGTGATTTATTTTTAGTTTATTTTAAATTAATTTGTTTAGCAAAACAGTACTGTTTTAGTTATAGTTTTGGTTTAGTCTTTTCTTTATTGTTTTTATTAGTTTCAAATTATTTCTTTTTTTCACTCTTGAAAAATTTAGTTTTGTTTCTGTTAGTCAACAAAAGAAAATTTTGTTTTTATTTAAAAAAAAAATTCTTAGTTTTGTATGAAAACTTGTTTAGGTCATAGTTAGTGTTTTATAAAAGCTTTTTATTTGTTTCTTTTTGCAAATAAAATTTTATGGAAAAAAAATACTTTCTGTTAAATTAGTTATTTTACATTTTATTTTCTGTTAATTTATTAGTTTAGTATTTTAATTGTTGTTAAATTTTTACTTACGGCAAAACTATATTAGATGTTTGTAGCAAAGTCATAGATCTTCGTTAGTAGTTTTTCTTTGTAGTTTTATTTGAAGTTTCTTTTGATTTTTGTTTGAGTTTTATTATCGATTTTCCTTGCTGTTTTGATTTTTATTTCGAGTGCTAAAATTGTTTGCTAGGATGTTTGCTTATGTGAATGCTATGTTTGACTATTTTAAACGGAGTGACGATTAGTTCTACCAAGTCATTTTCTGACAGCGTTGTTATCTTCATCAAGTATTACCAGGCAAGTTCACTTTGACCATGCTTTCATACCTATGTTTTATTGCATTTAGTGTCATCTTCGCAACAATCCCTCCAGTAGTGATATTGAATTCTTGTAGTTGATTAGTATGCATGAGGTAGGAACCCATCACCCTGTTACCAAGCCCGGGACGTTATTTATTTTAATGCTACGCTATAGTAGACGGGGTTTGGTATGAGTGCTCGAGAGTGGTGTGAAGAAGGAGGACTCTACGTCAATGACGACAACTCCATGATGGCATCTGCAAGGACTGCATTTTCAAGGCCTCAAGACTTCAAGACTCGAGACAAGAATTCAATACACACTACTGGGTGAAGGACGGTTGACGGGCACCCTGGAGAAACCAGTGGTTGGCCGGGATGCATGGAGAAGCGCCATGACATCTTGCGGAAAGCTTCACCCAGACTCAAAGAGACGGAAGAATACTTCATGCCCGGAAGCTTACCTGTGCAACCGCAAGTCACTATGGGCTCTGGCTTGGTTGACCTTAGTTGTGACTCTGGCTGGGACGGTGCAAGCAGATGTAGAACTACGGTAGGATTGGATGAGCACCGGACAGTGGTCAGAGGAACTCTTCGGAAGACCATGTTTCGGTCATCTTGTTCTCAAACACCCTGAAGTGCGAGAACGTAAAGAGAGGGATCGAATCTTGCGGGTAAAGTGTACAAACCTCTGCAGAGGGTTTAAACCTAATCGATTAGCCGTGTCCCCGGTTACGGACAATTTGAGCATCTGGACTTGGATCTATCTCGGAACTCTCAACACCGGACTGATAACTTAATTGTGGGCAACTTATGATGATTTTGGGCTATGAGACATCGGTTGGCGGAACCATGTCATGATAGAAAACTCCATAGTACAGACTTCATTTATTCCTTTGATGTAGGGAAAACAAATCAGCTTTTACGCAAACAAAATTCAGATACAGAGCCACAAAGCCATAATGCATATAGTATAGTTTTATCATCTGTTCTTTTTATTGTGATCTTGCCGGTACATTCAATGTACTGACCTACACGGCTGCAACGTATCATGTTGCAGATATTTCCTCGACGAGTAAGAATTACGATACAGGGTTACGGTCTACACTCAACCTGCCGATGGCGTTGATGGGACTCCACACCCGTTTGATTGTTTTCGCTGAGTATTATGAGGTATATATCATGTTACGTTATTTATACATGTGATTGCACTTTGATATATACATTGATGTACTGTGTGTGCCAGCATACTGATCCAGGGATGGCACAGTAACACAGAGGCTTGACCGTCTGAGGTCGGGTCGCTACATCCGCTTAGCGATCTACAAGGGTATGTAGATGCACTCTCCTTCTACTCGTAGCTGGTTTCTCCATAGATAGATCTTGGTGACACGTAGGAAAATTTTGAATTTCTGCTACGTTCCCCAACAAACCGATGCACGGTGAAGGCACCCACCACCACGGGGACCAACATCTCGACTGCCGCGGTGAGCAGACTTGATGCGATCCTTGGCCGCCCACCCATGGTGATTGCGACCAGGCTCCAACGCAGAGCATCCTCTGCGGCGACCACCTCCTGCGAGCGGGGGATGATGCAGCGCTCCACAGCTGACCTAGCCGATGGCGAGTCGGGCCTCATCCGCCTACTTGACTGACCCACCTCGACCTCCCGCGCGTCCAGCGACGGCTCCGAGGGCACCCTGCCAGTGGAGGCCGCTACAAGACCCAGGCAAGGACGGAAATATATATTGATTTGATTAGGAAAGCGTGTCGATATGGTCAACGACTCCTACGTCTTAATGTTTTGCATCATTAAGTGAAATGAAAAATACCAAAGAGAACAACTCGTTGATGGAGGATATAAATCAAATGACATCTTTTTTATATTCGTACTTGTAGGATTTGAGATGCATACAATCTTATTTCTATGTTTTTTTATTTTTGCGAATTTTCTAACCTACGAACAAAGGAGGCCTAAAGAGATGTGATTTGCTCGAGCCACCGGAGTGCCCACGGTTTCTCAGCGCCATTTCCGTGGATGGTGTAGTCCTCACTACAGCTTTTCGCTCGTCCTTGTTCTACACGTGTCACTCCGACATTGGCTCGCCTCATCCACCCTCGCAAGAAACCTCTGCACCCGTCTCCCCTTCTCACCCGCTACCGGTCAGTACTCGCCAACCTTCTCCAGAGAGTCTGTGTGGACCAGGTCTTTGTCCGAGCAGCCGAGCGGTGGTGCGCACGGGGCCACACGTCACTAGGCAGCGCTAGCTCCGGTGCACCAACACCGGGCTCATTCAGCCAACCACGTCGTCGCCATCATCGCCAAGTTAAGGAGGCAAACCAAAGCGGTCGGCCGAAACTGGAAGCCCCCAAACCCCTCCCCACCGCGGCGCAGGGTTCTCTGTCTCGTCGCCGCCACCTCCGGGAAGCTTCCACCCCACCGGGGCTGGGCCATGGCGGCGCCGTTTGTGTACCTCCGCCCCACCGTCAAGGATGACGGCACCGGTACGTACAGCCTCCTCTTCCCGACCCTCTCAATTTGCTCCCAACTTCGCCCCCCCCCTCTCTGGACCCTGGCCGCGTTTCTGACAGCTATCACGTGCACGCGTATGTAGGTGAGAAGGCCGCCCTGGTTCTCCTTGCTTCGATTCTAGTCTAGCGATGCTTGCTTGGTTACGTCATGCGTGTGCTGACTGCTGTGTTCGCGGGGTCGGAGGTTGTTCAGGCATGCTACATTGCTGCGTGTAACCGTCTACTCTACCGATTGCCTTCGGGTTCTGTTTGTTGTGATGCTCTGGTTGTCTTGATTTGGTCAGATTTTCGCTTGATTTGTTGGTACGTTTAAAACATGGGCATTGGGTAAGCACAGAGGGCCTTCTAGCTCGTAAAAAACCAAATAGATTTGCATGAGAAGCACCTAACCTGCCGCCGGTATGACCTTGTTTCTGACTGCATTTGGTTGCGTCTGTGAGTTATTTTGAGTAGTTACAGTGTGCGCTGCCTTGGTTCCGATACCTTTGTCAAAAGTTTTCTCATACTCAATCAAAAATACTTTTCCTAGTGACAGCCATGGCATGTTAATTTTAGGACCGATCATCACACCCGCATGATTAGATACCGTAGTTAAAACAAACTGGGCTGATTAGTCTCTTGATAATGTGAGAACTAAAGATGATGCGGTACAATTGTGCATTGCATCCTAATTTGCAGCATAGTGTGTCTTATCAAGTATTTTCACCGCATGACTCTGTCCAGCAATGTGATAGATCAGTCACTTTGACTTCCAGAGGCTCTTGTGCATTCAACACGTTTGCTTCTTTTCTTTTAGTTTTCTAACTTGTTAATTTGTCTATTCTCTTCTATAATCCGATCATGTTTACTTTTGTGAAAGGTATTATAAAGAGACTTACCAAAAGAAACGGCGACCTGTCGGCGCTTTTTTCTATCAACACGAATGGATGTAATGTGTTGCGTCTCGCGACATGCGCAGGCCATTTAGAGGTTTGCAGGTACCTAGTGGAGGAGCTTGGAGGAGATGTAAATGCTCCTGGGTTTGGGGATACAGCTCTAGGTCTTTCTCTATCCCTTTCTCCATTTTTCAATTTGGTGGCTACCATGTAAATATTTGCCAGTATGAGATGTACGATTGTGCTAACAATGTGCTTTTTGAAGGTGCGACTCCATTTATGGTGTCTGCTCAGTCTGGTGATGTTGCTACTGTCAAGTATTTTCTTGATCATGGTGGTGATCTTGTGAAAGCAGATGACAAAGGGCGCACAGTTCTCCACCATGCTGCGGGTATAGGTACTCCCCCTATCACACACCCTCACACTTAATTTCTGCAATCTAGCCATTGTACTGGTAATTATTTACTCTACTCCAGTCATTTGTTCAATGCTTGTGCCCAAATGACTTATGGAATCATCTCGTTCACCACAGGATGCTGCAAGGTTATAGAGTTCCTCCTGTCAAAAGGAGTGCCTGTTGACATAGACTGTGGCCGTGGAACACCACTCTTTTGGGCTGCTAGTAATTTGTTCAATGCTTGTGCCCAAATGACTTATGTGGCTAGGCTGGGGATTCCGTCTTTTCATGTTAGGATTAGGTGAGTGGTCTGGGTAGTGGCCCAGCTAGCACCCCTTCATCATATGGATAGGAGTAGCGGCATATGTTGCCTAGATGGTGAATTCAGCCTTATTGTTGTAACACTTTGTAAGGTCCTCGAGAATAATCAATAAAGTGGCCGTATGCATCTCCCAGATGCAGAGGCCGGGGGTCATCCTCCTTTTCTAAAAAACCATGCGAATGTATATGGCCTCTGCTATTATTTCTCTTGATTCACAGTTAATTTCGATGGGAAGTTTTAAGTTTGTGCATAGTTATATGTCGTGGACAAATATGTTTTATCCTGGGTCTGCTTTGGTTGCTCGGATTGATACATACTTAGATGCCGCAGTACATAATCATTTTATTAGGGACACTCAATGGAGATTTTGAAGTGTGATTCATTTAATGGAGCAACCCATTCCAAACCTCAAACTAATCAAGCATGCTAGATCAGAATTACGATTGGACCCACTTACCATCTGATTCCTTGAACCACCACACACACCAGTTGATTATATGATGACATGTTTTTTAATAGTCATATCTTTGTTCATCTCAAACGTAACTACTGAATTTATCATAACACATGTGCTTCTTATCTTAATAAAACAATGCCCTCCTTTCAGCCTAACATCATCATCAATGGTACTACCAGTCCCCTTATGAGTGCTCTTGCTTACCGTTCATTGAAGTGCATGAAGCTACTCATTAAGGTGAGTATTCTCTGGATTATTTTTCCATGCGATGTTGTGATTTGCTTAGTTTACGAGCTCTGCATGCTTATATACATGTACATGGAGATATCACCATGGACATAATTTTGCACAATTCTTTTCACAGGCTGGTGCTGATGTCAATTGCAATGGTTCCATGTTGACTCCATTGTTGCTTGCTACGATGCATGGAGGTTATACCAACTTCATTAAGCTCCTATTAAAGGCTGGAGCAGATCCTAATATTCCTGATGATGTATGTGTTTTATATATTTTGTTGATATTTGCTGACCTGGTATGCAGAATTTCACTGTTAAGCTTATAGTGGTACTATTATTCAGCTCTTCTGATAATGTTAAGCACCCATTTAGCGATGGGTTTAGGTTGCTTGGTGTCATTGACTATGCTTATGGGAGTTGCGATTGTGTGTATTAACATTATCTTCACATTTCATTCTGGCAGTCTTTATCATAAAAAAAGACCTATGGGGGGCTCATCCTGAGATATTAATCTGCACCACGGAAATCAAACTCTGGTGGGCTGGGTCACTCACGGCACATCCACCACTGGGGTGCAGCCCAATTTTGAATGGTTATATCAACAGTCAACAGATGTATCATTTTCTGTTGATCACTCCTATGAAGGAACATGCCTATACTCGTTGTTCTCAAAAGGTTTATGTGTCCAACATTTTATCATTATTTTTCCATTTTGGAAGATCATATTGGTGCTTAACTTAACAGTTGATGAGATACTGAGATCTCATATCTTATTACAAACCATTCTGGGCAGCAGCATTTCTCAAATGTTCCCATGCAATAAACAGTAGAATAAATTGAATTTTCCTAGCTAACTTGTTGTTGTTCTTCGTCCTGTTGGTGTTCTGTTTTCAGCCTTTTACTCTAGGCTACTTATATGAATGCTACCATCAGTTAACGGACCGACTAAAAAGAATTCATGTGTGCAGTTACTTCTCGTTTTTTATCTATATATTTCATGGGGACGAGTGTGATTCCACTAAACTGTTTTGGTGTCTCAGTCTCAACTTCTATGAAATACTCTTGGAAACCTTGTGTACTGAGTAAATCCTTGTTGAAACATTTGATCAAAACATTATGCAGATCCTGGTTCTTTCCCATGATGTTATAATTTTTTTACGCTAGTTGTACATTACACAATGTTCATGTTCTTTTGCTATATTCTAAACAGTTGACAAGAGTTGATGAGATAATGAGAAGCAGTATATACTATTCTGGGTATCAGTATTTCTCCAATGTACTCGTGCAATAAAAACTGAAATAAATAGCTTAATTGATATGATTCTTCATCCCAATTCGTGGTATTCTCCTAGTTAAAACATTTGATAATTTTATTGATCCTGGTTCTTTCTGACAATATTTAATTTTCTTCATCGATTGTATGTTACGTAATGATCAAGTTCTTTTGTTATAATCTCTATGGTTTTCTTCTTCCTTTTGTTTGAACAAAATGATAAGTTCTTTTTCCTTTTGTTTCTAGTTGGGTAGGTTTCCAGTAGAGCTTGCTGCGATACGCGATTGCAAGGAAGAGGTTGAAATGTTATTTCCTGTGACTTCTCCAATTCCAAATGTCCCAAACTGGAGTATTGAAGGAGTAATTTCTCATGCGAAAATTGAAGAAAAGAAGCCAATTGTATGTTATTTTCTGTTCTTATTATGATGCTTGCTTACTGAATATTAATTGAAAGCTAAGCCTTCATATATTTTGTGCATTCGGTGCTATTGTAAGCTGTGATTACTTTATGCATTGCACCACTAGCGAAAATTATTGCTGGTTATCTGAGAACAAAGTACCAACTTTACTTTACAAGGGTAATATGATTATGTAGTCACAACAGGGCTGCCCACCAATAGACATGATAAACCCATATTTGGTAACAAAACATAATATGAAGAAACCGTGGAACGTAATGTGTAGAAACTCCTAACAAAATCCGGTTTTCGTGATGGATAATTAGTGCATATCATTGAGGAAAAAAGTCCTTTTGATTCCAACATTGAAAAGTATGAACACCTTACACTTGATAAGATTGACTCCTAAGATAAGGCAATTGATGTGCGGATATTTACATGTAGATTGTACTCTAGTCATATTTCTATTAACTGACTTGAACTTATCTTTGAGTCAGGTATTGAGCAAATCATGTAATGTTGTGTATAGTTAGATGCTCGCAGGAACAATAATTCTCGAAACATGGCTCATAATCATGGATGTCATGCCACGGTTGTGAAGTACACCATCATCAAGTAGAGGGTGTGCTATTCATTAGTATCCAGTAATAATGTCACAAGAGTACTATATTTTAATTAAGTGGCATACTATGTAATGTGTTCTCCTTGGTTGTTTCGTGAACGAAGAAACACTTGATATTTACCGATGTTCCCATGTTTCCTATGGAACGCTTGCCATCTAGTTAAACTGAAATTGTTAACTTTAGCGAGAGCATTCAATGGTAAGTTACATGCCACCTAGATACCAAATTATGAAGAATGTTGAACACGAAGTTCTTGGGTGTCTTTTGTGGTAAGAAGTGGGAAAAAATTCATAGTAAATGATTATTCCAAAATAGAAATATTCAATTCATGTTTCATTTATTTGTTATCTAGGAGCAACGGCACCTTCAAAGAAGAAAAGGTTTGATCAAGTCAAAGGCTGATACGGCATTCAAGCAGAAGGAGTATAAGATAGCAACAAAGATTTATGATTTGGTACACCTCTTGCATTATATCTATGATACTGGGAACTAGTTGAAGATATATAACTCTTTTTGTAATGTAAAACATGAAGGTTTGGTTGGCAAAAATAATTAATATTCCCTCTAATTCACAAAAAAAATGACGTTTTGGACCTTGACATGGTCTTGGGAATATATTTTTGACCACCAATTTATTTTCTGACAGTACTTCTCTACACAAATCTATGCGTATGATTTTCAACCCAATTTGAACGTTTTAAATGGTATTGTTGGTCTAAGTTTGACTTGGGACGTCTCTTTTTTGTGTACTGGAAGGAGTAATGATTAGTGCGACTAGGATACAATGATCCATGGAAACCATCTATTTGACTATAGATCAAACTAAAGTTATGATTAGATCTGACCAAGGGTCATCCAAAATGTATATGATCTGAAGCCAGTATACATTAAGAATGTGCTAGCATTCATGCATTACTATTTGGGGCAGAATGAATGAAGATTCCATCATCAAACTTGGTTGTTGTCTTACATCCCCAGAACCCATAAGAAGTTCATGACAGTGCATCAAATTATCTAGCTTTATCCAGATTGATCGTACAACAAGCCAATCTGTGTAGCAATAGAATGTGCTCCATATTCTGCAGTATTATTGTCTTACTGAGTAGTAATGTAGATAGTTTCCTACCTGTTAGCATGTGTGAACCATTAAAATAGAACTTTTGTATGTCACCACTCTACCTGGTATCCTGCGTGAGTCCCGTGAATGAGCATTAATTAAAATAAGGCCTCCTTTGGTTCACGGGGTAGGGAAATCATAGGAATAGAAAAGTCATAGAAAATGGGATGACATGCATCTCAAATCCTATGAGTAGGAATAGGAAAGAAGATGTCCTTTGATTCACTTCATAGGATTTTTTCCATTGAGTCTAGGCTAATGTTTAGGCCTCCTTTGATTTAGAGGAATTTTAGAGGAATTTTAGAGGATAGGATTCTTATAGGATTTTTTTCCTTTAGAGCCCTTTATCCCGGGCAACTTGCTCTTCTTTGGCACTATGCTGAGCCAAAATGACAGGATGGCCAGGAGAGCTATGGCACATTCCAGTAATAATAACATCATCACTTTGGCCTTCAGGACTTTTGGTTGATGATACTGGAATTTCAGTGTCTTTCACCGGACTATCTCGGTTTGGTTCTGCCGGTTCAGTATCAGGTGCGGCAGGCTCAACATCTGTTGGTTCATCGGTATGTTGGCCTTCAAGGGGTGGATCATCAAAAGTAGCTTCGGGATGAGGGCCTTCCGGTTCACCAGTCTGTTCCGGTTCACCTCTTGGTTCTTCTTCTTCGGCGACAGGGTCTTCTGGCGGATTGGTGACCCGAGCTTTCTTACTGGGTCTGGCTTTGGCCCTGCAAACAGAATAAAAGAGCATTAACATCCTATTCAAAGGATTTATGGCGCATTGAAAGGAAAGGTTTTTACAACTCACCTGGCCACAGTTTTCAAAGGGGGGAGTTGAGTTGTTGTCGATTCACCAGAAGATGAAGGAGGTGTCACCTGATAATTTGAATTGGACGGATTAAGAGGCTGTCTGAAATAACCTGCCTTGGGGTAAGAATGGTCAGAAGTAGGAGAGACCTCAGACCAGCGCTTCCGAACCGGAGTATCAGGTAAACCGGCTGAAGTGACCTGTTGGCCACTGTGTCGGGTTGTCCGGCGAGCTTCATGCTGCTGAGTCTTCAAAATAAATGTTGGATCCAAGTGAGCAAGAGGATGAGAAAAGCTTACTTTCTGGACTGCTTGGCGAGTTTTTTGCGTTGGCATAGAGTCTGAACCGGAGGAAAGGGTAATTACCTCTACGTCATCAGCTTGACTAGCTTCTGCATCCTCCTGAGGAAGATCATTGTTAATGAGATGCATGAAAAGAGAGCCAAGTGAGTCAAGTTCTACCTCAACTTCTGGATCATCAGTATCGTCATCAAGCTCCATATTAATCCGGTCAGCCATTTTCCATTTTGACGTCCGTTTTACGGCTTTGGTCTTTGGGCGGGATGGCTTGACCGCTTTGTCTCCAATCGGCTTTGCCGCTTTCTCTACGGTTTTCTGTTTCCAGAAGGGGTCATCACCCTACATATACAGAAGAAGGGTTACAGGTTGCATAAGTTAAAGGTATTAGAGATGAAGAGGGAGTATAGTGCTTACAGCAGGCGGTTTGTTCTTGGCA